CCAAACACCATGAACCGTTGTTTAATTTCAAAATTTCATCTTTTTTATTTTAATATATTTTGTTGTAAACCGTTTAAATTGTTATATACAAATTTATAAATAATTTTATCTACTTTTTAACAATATATCCCGATTAAAAAATCTAAAGACAAATTTTATTACAATAATTATAAACTAAATACAATCTAAATTTTTAAGTTCACAAATTTTTCTTATTAATTTTGTTTGAAAAGTTTTTAAACGTTATATACAGATTTGTAGATAATTTAATTAGCTTTCTAATGATATATAATAATGTTAATAAACTTCATTAAATTCAAACAAAATAAATATAAATATAAACTAAAACGTTGAAGCTAAAACAATATGGACGCCTTACAAAAATTTTGATTTCCAAGTATAACGAATTATTTTTGCATAATTTTGTTCCAACACTAACAAATTGTTATATACAGATTCATAGATGATTTCATCTACTTTTTAACAATATATTATAATACATAAGTATACCAATAAATTTTACCAGAATAATACTAAACATATAAGAATACACCAATGCAACAGAACGTTTTTTGAATCATTCAAATCGGACGCTTAGTTCTTTCAAAAACTGCAATTTTTTGCTCATTTAGCTCGGTATCTCCGAAACGGCCGGACCTGCCTTTGCCAAAAATTAATCAGCAAATCTCCCTATCAATAGGAATCGAATGGTAAACGAATTATTCAAATCGGATGCTTCATTCTTTCAAAAACTGCAATTTTTTGCTCATTTTTACACATTTAGCTCGGTATCTCCGAGACGGCTGGACCTGCCTTTGCCAAAAACTAATCAGCACATCTCCCTATCAATAGGAATCGAATGTTTTTTTTAACCATTCAAATCGGTTGATCCGTGCGCCCGAAAACGTGGACTTAAAATTGTATCCATACATACATGCAACAATAATATAATAAATTAATAATATATCCAGTTTATTATTTTTATTAAATTTATTGTTTAAATATAAATCGTATAAAAATTATTTCAATTCGATTTGGCACTTAAATAACACTATATTTGCTTTTTTTAACATTTTTACAAATTTTATTATATGTACAATTATAAAATAAATTATTAGCTATAACTATATTAATACTTATTATTATATTGTGTCAATATTTAAATTCTATTGCAACAATTAGTTATTATATAAACAAATCACTTGAAATATTGCATAAGATCTAAACTTAATTACCAAATTAATTAATTGATCACTTATTACTAAGTATTAATATTTATTTTCTGGACAGTTTATACTTCATGTTTATTTATTATTGAAGTAATACAATCATTTTGCTAAAGACAATTACTACAAGATAATTACTATAAATTATATTTATTTACATTTATGTTAACTTATATACTTAAACATTTTTATATAAATCCACTTATAATTTATAATACTGCATTTTTCATTCATAATACAATCATGAATTTTCTCAGGAATTGTTATTCCTATCGACAATATTTTTATTATTAAACATGCCATTTGTTATTAAAATTAATAAATATACTAGATCTAATTTTTTATAAAATTGAGGTAAATTTTATCTACTTTTAGAAATGAATATTGATTTTGTTCAATAAAATGCAAAAGTTCAAGTGTGAAAAACGCTTTACAACGCTAAAGCCTCCGCCACACTCTACCGGCTCCATATAAAGTTAAGAACAATTGTTATATACAAAACGTCTAGTGTGTGTGCGGCTTTAGGCTAGTGCTTGTAGCACACTGTGCAATTATAATATTGATGTAAATTATTTTACATTTTGTCAGTAAATTTTAAAACTTTGTATAGGACTATGTTAAACTATAAATATGAAATTTTAGTAAATTTTATCTAGTTTTTGCTAAAACTAATTCAAAAAGAGTGTCTCGGAATAAGTTTTTAAGTAAGTAAACAAAATGTAGAAAAATGTTCCGACAGAGTTCATTATATTACTTAACGAAAGAGAAAAGATAATTTGTTGTTCAAATATTTTTTAAAATCGTATTTTATTATTCTAGAATGTTGTAATTTGAGTATGTTACTGTCCAAAGCTTATACTAAGACGACAAATACTAAAATTGATGTGTATCAGAACAAAATATTTAAATATTAATACGAAGAAACCGCTATTGTAGTATTGGTAAAAATTAAACTGTTTATAGAAGAATATTGCAATTTGAGTATGTTTTAGACTATGATCAAGTAAAAATTTGTACATGAATCGTAGTAAATTTTATCTAGTTTTTGCTAAACTAATTCAAAAAGAGTGCCCCGGACAAAATTTTCGAGTAATTTAACAAAATGTAGAAAAATGTCCCGTATTCTTCACACATCCATGTGTTAATTCATTATTAATGATTTTATTTCGTATTGCTTATCAAAATAATTTATTTAACGAGCTCCTCAGGACGTAAGAGTCCAAAATTTTTGTATGTTATTCTCTAATATGCATATTATAATAATAAATAGTAAAATTAATAGGTTCTTTGGTAAAAAAGGTAAAAAAGTAAAATAATATTATCTTTTCTCTTTCGTATAGGTTCTTTAACAATATTTTAGGTTTTTAATTATTTTGTCTCCAAAGTACATAAAAATGCATTTTTAAACAATATTGTTGTATTTTTTTATTAATATTTCAATATTTTGTTCTGAAACTCGTCAATTTTAGAACTTGTAGTCATAGTATAAACATTGAAGAGTAACTTACTCAAGTTTGAGCATTCTATAATGTCATTTTGAAAATTATTTGAAGAACAAATTGGTTTTACACTTTCGTTGAATACTAATTACGTGTACGGTGATCAAATATATAAGGATAGGTTTACATTAGTTTTACTCAAAATTTTCCACGGGGTTAAAATAAACTATTTATACAGAACTTTAGTAAATTTTATCTAGTTTCTGCTAAACTAATCCAAAAAGAGTGTCCCGGGCAAAATTTTTGAGTAATTTAACAAAATTTAAAAAAATGGCCCTACAGAATCCATATAATAAAAATCCTAACAATATATAAGGACGTGTTTACATTAGTTTTACACAAAACTTTCCACAGGACTTTAGTAAACTATTTATACAGAATTTAAGTAAATTTTATCTACATTTAGTTAAGATAAACTAAAAACAATGCTCTGGACAAAATTTTCGAGTAATTTACCAAAACGTAAAAAAATGTCCCTTATTCATTAGGCTTGGTCCATTATCCTTACAATGCAAAGGACAGAACTATTGGTCTATTTTGGGATATGAGATTTAAATCAGAAAAAAATATTGCTTACATCAAACCTTGTATTATCAAGCCTCCAAAAAAACAATCTGGAAATGATACTAAATTTGGCCTCAAAATGCCGAATTTTGCATTAATACATAACAAGAAATTTAATAAATAGATGATTAGCTAATAAAATTATCTATAACTCTGTATATAACAATTTGTTACGTTTCGAACAAAATTATTTACATTTTTTTTCAAACTTTCAATTGGCATTTTATATTATCAGTTTAACCGGTTGCACTTTTCTATATCCATGATTATTTTATTATAAATAATTAAAATATAACAATAATATTATATATTGTTAAAAAGGTTATAAAATTGTCTACAAATCTGTATATAACGTTTAAAAACTTTTCAAACAAAATTATTCAAAAAAAATTTATGAACTTAAAAATTTAGTTACCGTTGATGGATTTCATTGGTTACATTTTTTTATGTTTATATTTATTGTAAAAAAAAATTGTCTTTAAAGTTGTTTATAGGGATATATTGTTTAAAAGTAGATAAAATTATCTATAAATCTGTATATAACAATTTAAATCGTTTAGAACAAAGATATATTAAAAAAATTATTAAATTTTGAAATTAAACAACGAGTTATGCCTAGTTCATAGTGTTTCGTCAAACATTCTTTTAGATTTTAATTATTTTTTCAAATAATTTGTTTCAACATGTATATATTGTTATATATTGTTAAAAAGTAGATAAAATTATCTATAAATCTGTATATAACAATTTGTTAGTGTTGGAACAAAGTTATGCGAAAATAATTTGTTAAAGTTTGAAATTAACACCATCATAAGGCGTCCATATTGTTTCGCAAAAACAAAATGTCTACTTGACAGTTCCAAATTCAACATGGCGGCTTGACAGCTCCAATTTTAAAATAATTCGAGTTGTAAATAAATGTTCGTGGTTTACATTTATAGTTATTTTGTTTAAATTTAATTAAATATATTAAAAGTGTTATATATCGTTAGAAAGCTAAGAAAATTATCTACAAATCTGTATATAACGTTTAAAAACTTTTCGAACAAAATTTAGCATAATAAATCTGTAAAGTTGAAACTGTAGCTAGCTATTGGTGGTCAGTGGTAATATTTTTTTATATTTACTTAAATATTGCTAAAATTTGTTACACAACATATATATTGTTATATATCGTTAAAAAGCTAATAAAATTATCTACAACTGTGTATGTAACAATTTGTTGCGTTTCGAACAAAATTATTTACAAAATATTTCTAAATTTTCAAGTGTCATTTTATATTAGCGGTTTCATCTGTTGCACTTTCAATGTATTAGGGTGAGTTCACACTAGTCTTGTACAAAACTTTCCACAGGACTTTAGTAAAATATTTATATAAAATTTAAGTAAATTTTATCTAGGTTCAGATAAGCTAACTCTGAAAATAATGTCACGAACAAAGTTTTTGAGGAATTTAACAATATTTCAAAAAATGTCCCAATAGAATTCATATAGTAAAAATTCTAACAATATATAAGGACGTGTTTACACTAGTTTTACACAAAATTTTGCAAAGGACATTACTAAACTATTTATAAGGATTTTAAGTAAATTTTATCTAGTTTCAACTAAACTAATTCAAAAACAATGTCTCAGACAAACTTTTCCAGTAATTTAACAAAACATAAAAAAATGTACCTTATACATTAGGCTGGGCCAATACTCATTCAATTACAATACAGTACTCTTCTTGAAAACAATCATAGACTTCCTTCGACAATCATTCCTAGAACTTTTACTCGTATGCATCCGATTCACATCCAAATCGTCTTGACTTTGGGAATTCAGCAAAGCGAGAAGCTCGAAGGCTGCTCGTTTGTTATCCGCATTCCACACACTCGAGGGTAAAAAGTTTTCTTTATTGTCTTCGGGACACTTTTGTTGTTTATTGAGAACAATATTTTTACAATCAGAGTTCTTCGATGATTTAAAAACCGAAAACAAGTTCTTTTTATTCGGTTTATTGTTAAGTTTATCGTTTAAAATTTGCACATCAGGCTTAAGAATAGTTTCTTTAATCGGTTCTAATTTTACAGCAGGCACAATTATACTCTCGCAGTCCCCTGTGTCAGCCGAAAGGGTGCTGTCGAGATCTAGATAATCGATTTTTTGTGCCCTTCGTCTAGGACGTAAACACTTGCCTGTTTTGTAAGTTTTAATCAAAGCCTCGGCTTTAGCAAGCTTTTCTTTGGCTAAAACATTTAATTGTTCCAAACGTTGCTCACGCTTTGCCAATAATTTCTCTTTTTCCAAAAGTTTAGCTTCGGCTTGCTTCAAATTAACTTCTCGTTGACGTATTTGTTCTAATTTTGTTAACCAGACTTGTTTAAAAGTGTCTTCGGTTAAATCGTGAGGACTTTTAAAAGTCTCCAAAGCCTTTGCTAAAGTTTTTGGATCGGAATCAGACTTCGACACAGGTTTTTGGTGTAAATCGTTTTGGTAAACATTGTCACAGTTGTTTAATTTATCCAAAAAACTCGTGCGTTTAACATTTTTAACAATCGGAGAAGTAAATTCTGTGCTCAAGTTTGATAAAACAGTGGGATGGTGTATAATAATTTCCACAGAAGGCCTGTACGTGCAATCTGTATTCAATAACAACTTTATAACATTGTGTAAATCATCCGTGTAGTCTTTAGGTATCTTTTTAAAACGTCCTTGCTTAATATTATCAGACAAACTCACAAACGTGTCACTGAAAAACGGTGGTTGCAAAGCACATAACTCGTACACCAGACAACCCAAAGACCAAACATCACTTTTTTTATTATATTTAGCACCTTTAATAACCTCCGGACTCATATAGTTAGGAGTACCCACCACAGTATCACTAAAACTATCCTTTTCCATTATTCTTGCTAAACCGAAGTCACCTAGCTTAACATTACCACGACTGTCAAGAAATATGTTAGCAGGTTTTATATCCCGGTGCAAAATTGTTAAGCGGGATTTATGGGTGTGACAAGCCTGCAAAGCCCTAGCTGTCTGGTACAAAACTTTCCATACAAACCTTTCCTCGATACAACTATTCGTGTCTTTACATTTTGTGATCAACTTAGCCAAGTCACCCTGCTCGCAGAATTCCATTATTATATATAAAATTTGTGTTTGCACATGAATGATCCTGTCATAATACTGCACGATATTAGGATGTTTGAGTTCTTTTAATAAATTTACCTCGGATACTAAAAGTTGCTTTTGGTCCTCTGACATGCAACCGTAGTCAATTGCTTTCCAGACATAAACTTTATTATTTTTCTTATGTTTTACTTTATAACATACTCCAAAGGAGCCCGAGCCTATTATACACAACACTTCATAGTCTGTTAATTGCATAATTATATATATTTATTAACAATTGTAAATAAAAACGTTATCAACAGACTTCAACTGTCAAAACAGGTGTTTGTTTATTGACGACAAGTTGGCGACAGGTGGATTGACAGAGATATCGATATTTTTGGTTATGGTGCGAAATATCGATAAAAATGGCGCGCGGGGAATTCAAAATGGTAAATGAATGTAGTTTTGGGTATAAATTGTTTTTGGTGCAAATGTAATGATACATTTATGGCATTAAGTATAATTGTTATTTATATATTTATGTTTGTTTATATTTGTATATTTATATATTTATATATTTATATATTCATATATTTATATTCACTTGCATTATTATATGTAATATCTGTGTCTATTATTACTTGCATATTTATTTTTATATTTTTTAACTTTTCGTAGAAGTTTATGTTTTTGCCAAATACTCGATTTCTTAACCTTATATTTTCAATATTTAATTTTAATTCAATCCTGTGAACTAGTCCTAATTATATTATATATAGATTATGTCCGGTTTTTTGTATAATATATGGATTCCGTCAGAATATTTTTCTAATTTTGTTAATTTACTCAAAAAATTTGTATGGGTCATTTTTTTCTAATTAGCTTAGCAGAAATTAGATAAAATTTACTAAAATTCTGTATAAACAGTTTATTTTAACCCCATGGAAAATTTTGTGTAAAACTAATGTAAACCTATCCTTATATATTGTGAAAATTTACCACGTATGAAATTTGTGGGGTCAATTTTTCAAATTTTGTTAATTTAATCGAAATCTTGTTCCGGGGCACTCTTTTTCATTTAGATAAGCAGAAACTAGATAAAATTTACTACAAATTCATATGAACAGTGTTATATAGTTCTTTGGAAAATTTTGTATAAAACTAATGTGAACACGCCCTAATATATTGGTATATAAAATTTGAGAGGACATTTTTTTTATATTTTTTTAATTTATTCAAAAACTTTGTCCTGGGCACTCTTTTTTATTTACCTAACCAAAAACTAGATAAAATTTTCTATAAATGTATATAAACAGTTTAATATGGTTTTATTTGAAAATTTTGTTTAAAACTAACGTGAACTCACTCTAATATATTATATGAATTTTAGTATATGGAATCTGTCGGGACATTTTTTGAAATTTTGTTAAATTACTCAAAAATTTTGTTTAGGACACTATTTTTTGTTTAGCTTAGCAGAATGTAGATAAAATTTACTAAAATTCCTCATAAACAGTTTAATATAGTCCTATGCAAAATTTTGTATAAAACTAGTCAAATTTACAATATATAAAATTTGTATTTGTATTTATTACTATATTATTTTTTACAAAATCTATATTATTTCATATTATGATTTGATTTTCACTAAAATATTTTATTTCACAAAGCATTTTCTTGTGTTGAAATGTTCAGAAACCTCTCAAACCTGAAGAAATGCAAAAGTTTTATTTTCGGTTAAAAAATTCTACTAATCGTATCTGTCATATATGTTTGTTAACATGTTAAGTATTTTTTAACTTTATTAAAGTTATAAGATTAAAAAATATGTTCTCAGTAATAATATTATTTTTATAAATCTCCTATTTTTTACGCCACCAGATGATTACGGCGTACGATAAATTATTAAAGTTTGGAATATAAAAAACATCTTGTCTCAGTTCACAAATTATAAATTTTGCAAATTCAAATTTTAAACACGTTTTGCAGACAATTTTGTTCTACGAGTTTTTAAATGTTATACACAGATTTGTAGATAATTGTAATAGCTTTCTAATGATATATAATACTTATAATATATTTTATTAAATTTAAACAAAATATATATAAATATAAACCACGGACATTTATTTATAACTCGAATTAATTCCAAGTTAGAGCTGTCAAGCCGCCATGTTAGATTAGGAACTGTCAAGTAGACATTTTGTTTTTGCAACTGTCAACATGTATAAAAGAAATTTAAAACTAAAACAATATGGACGCCTTACGATGGTGTTAATTTCAAAGTTTAACGATTTATTTTTGCATAATTTTGTTCCAACACTAAGAAATTTTTATATACAGATTTATAGATAATTTTATCTATTTTCTAACAATATATAATACTATATACATATTGAAACAAATTATTTGAAACATTAATTGAAAGCTAAAAAAATGTTTGACCAAACACTATGAACTAGGCATAACTCGTTGTTTATTTCAAAATTTAATGAATTTTTTTAATATATCTTTGTTCCAACACTTACAAATTGTTATATACAGATTTGTAGATGATTTTATCTACTTTTTAACAATATATGATAGAGCATAAGGATTGATATGAATTTTATAAGTATAATGTTAAATGTAAAAAAATGTCACCGAAAAAATTCACTGACGGTAACCAAATTTTTAAGTTCATGCATTTTTCATAATTAATTTTATTTGAGAAATTATTAAACGTTATATACAGATTTATAACCTTTCTAACCCCATATAACATTATTGTTATATTTTAATTATTTAAAATAAAATAATCGTGGATATCAAAAAGTGTAACCGATTAAACTGATAATATAAAATGGCACTTGAAAGTTTAGAAGTATTTTGTATTTAATTTTGTTAATAATTTTCTTCTAAATGAAATAAATTATTATATACAAAGTTATAGATAATTTTATTAGCTTTTTAACGATATATAATAATATATAAGTGTTGGAACAAACTTTAGCAATACAAACGTAAATATCAAATGTAACCTATAAAACTCACCTATGGCTAATTACAGTTTCAACTTTACAGACTTCTCTTGCTAAATTTTGTTCTAAAAGTTTTGAAACGTTATATACAGATTTGTAGATAATTTTATTAGCTTTCTAACAATATATAACACTATTGTTATATTTTAATTATTTATAACAAAATAAACGTGCAACTCATGAAACTAATATTATAGGAAGTTAAACACCAAACTATTTTTTTTTTGAAAATTTTGTTAAACAAAATCAGTCAAAATTCAAAATGCTTTATATATTTGTAATGTGCTCTTGAAGACTTTTCAAATGAGACCCCATATGCAAAATTTTTGGTATTTGACAGTAAAACACTATTACGATCTTGTTTATTTTAATAGATAAATTTTAGAACAAACACACATGAACAATATGTATTTAATTGTATGTATTTAAGTTCTTTATAATTTTTATTTTTCGATTCGATCTAAATGCCTTAGTATTTGTTTTAACAAAACCTTTGCAAGACACCTGAAACATATTTTCATTAACAATGCTAATTAGTAAAGCATAAAAATTAAAATAAGAACTCATCGATCCATTTATTAATTTACATACTTTATTTTAAGAATTAAAATACAACTAACAAAACGCAAACCCACTATCTCGATTGAATCAATTTTTAATTAATAATTTTGATTTAAAATTTCCGTTCAGGGCCAGGATGGTGGATCACCGGGTTTAACTCGACCACCATACAGAGCACTCTTGTCACGGAACAATGTCATCCTTCGGGTCTCAGAGTCATCGATTAATTTTCCTAAATAGAATCCGGCTAGGGGTACGATCATCCAGATGTGGTGAGTCTAATAAAAAACAAAAATTATAATTATTCAGTATACATATGAACGACGACATTATTATGCATATAAGACAGGTGTATTTATTATTAAGTATATTATTATTAATTGTTGTCATTTATCTTACTGTGAATCCAAACAAGCCCATTTTCAATGCAATTTCTTGCTAGCTTTCCACTTTTGTGTATTAGACCAGTCCGCGTAAATCGAGCCGGCTGCAATGTCGGGAAAAGCACAACGATACTGTATTTTCTAAATAATACGAAAAGACGACAAGTACCCATTAAGCTGAAATCGTAAATGACATGACGTAAAATGACACGCGATGAGGTTATGTAGCATTATGTAATATAATAGACATATATATGTTAAGGAAATGCATAAAACTTACTTTGTAGGTTGCAACATTATTAAAAATATATTTAAATATGATAGAACGTAAAATTTGTTTACAAAATTGGTTTTATTTAACAAAATTTTGTTAGTGTTTTGTTTTTTCATTATGGCGGCAGTGATGGCGGCGGGTGACAGGTCGCGTTGACAGTTGATGAGCGCGCGAAATATGAATTGAAGTAAGAGAATATTTGTAATAAAATGCAGATACATACACAAGCAACCATTATATACTAAAATATTTAGAAACAATCTAAACAACTATCATGCAACTATCTTTGTACAACAATATTGTTTAAAATTATGTTTTTAGATTTTCATTTATATTTAACAAAAAAATTTGGAGATGGTAACGCTGTTTGTATTTGACAGTTTTGTAGTCAAGCGCGCAGAAAATGTTTAAAAATAACAAAATACAGCCAAAACGTGTTAAATAATAACAAAGTAGATATAAATATGTTTGTACAACATTATTGTTTATAAAACGTGTGTTATTTTACGTTGCTAATGTCTAAACTAATAATTTATAACATGTAAGTTTTTGAGGTTAGTATTTGCACTTACAAGTTTTATTCTTAAATCTTATTAATAAATTTAGTTTAAGAGGTTTATAATAACATAAATGTATTCTATACATGCCGCTTAAGGCTTTAGTATTACCTAAAACTATTATGCTTAGTGCTTTGGGTACAAATTAAATAAATTTCTCTTCATGCTTTTTCTAGTTATACCCAAGTCCATTATGTTCGTTGAAAAAAGCATTTTCAACTTCAAACCTTCATAAAACTCCGAAAA